CCTGAACTCTGGGCCTGGGCGCTGTCCCTCAGCTCTTCAGCTCAAGGCTAGCGCTCTACCACTTGAGCCACAGCACCACTTCTGGCTTTTCTCTTTTTGCTTATGTGGTGCTGAGGAATCGAACCCAGGGCCTCAGGCATGCAAGGCAAGAGCTCTACCACTGAGCCACCTTCCCAACCCCTGATTTTGTTTTTAAAGTGAGAGTTACTAGCATTTAAAATTTATTACATCATCCAGTCTATGTCTTAACACTCCTCCAGGAACCTCTTCATGTTCAGCTCCAATTGGAGCTCCTGAAGCTCCAATTCCTCTACCTTATCCTTGTAGGTTTTTTAATGAAGGCTTCATTATGTCGGTATGATTGAATAATTGGCTATTGGTAAACAGCTCAATCTTTGGCACCTTCTTCTCCCTGGAGATGGAGGATAAGGTGCCTTGGTTTGTATATTGGCCGGCTTTCATACTGATGTTGCTCTCTAGGGATTCCACCTACCAGTAGTCTCATTAGCATACAAAAGACAGTCTTCACTCCAAAGATTTGAAGAATTGTAAGAGTTGTATGCTAGGAAACTACACGGAGACCACAATATGCACAATGCTATCATAGATGGCTGTTCTCTAGGAGAATGTGAGTGAATGGATCTGGAAGCTATAGTGTTTGATAGGGTTTCATAGATTCAGAGTAAAACTAGCTATCATGGTTGTATGTTTTTTTTCCAGCCATCTTTAATAGCTAACTTAATAGCTCACATTATTTAGGTACTTTCCTTTTTCTGTGTCTGTGTTTAAAATTTTGCCAATAACGTTTTTAAAATTTTTTTGAGCTGTAAATCTTGTCATGAATCTATAATTCTTTTGGTTAAAATCTTCCCAGCCCTGCCTCTAACTTTTTTTATTCTGTTTTTGTAGTATTTTAATGTATAGAAGCTAACTGTATGTTAAATCTTGTAATTTCTGCTTTCACATATGTACTTCAAAACACTTTTCCTACCTCAAGCTATTACCTATATTTTCTTATAGCTCTATTTAAAACTTCAAGAGAGCTGGATGCCGGTGGCTAATGCCTTGTAATCCCAGCTACTCTAGAGGCTGAGATCTGAGGATCCAGGTTCAAAGCTAGCCCGGGGAGGAAAGTCCTTGAGATTCTTATCTCCAATCAGCCACCAGAAAACTGGAAGTGGTGCTGTGGCTCAAGTGGTAGAGCACTTGCCTTGAGCTGAAGAGTTGAGGGACAGCGCCCAGACCCAGAGCCCATGACCAACAACAACAACAAAAAATTAATTAATATAATTAACTTAAACCTCATCAATATCCTCTTCTTTTCCAGTTTGCTTCACAAATAGGTATGCATTGAATTTAATAGGTATTTAATTATTTATTGTCTCTTTCACAGCAAAGATTTGTGGAGAAGATGGACAGGTAGATCCCAACTGTTTCGTTCTGGCACAGGCCATAGTCTTTAGTGCAATGGAACAAGAGTAAGTTAGTTTCATATTTTCACATTTTGTATTCTTTGGAATTTGGGTCAAGTATTAGGAATATACTTTACTCAACTAAAAACAAAGTGTTTGAGAAGATTTATGTTACTTGGATATTTATAATGTCATGTAAGACTTTTAAGACTCTTGGTTAATTTCTTTTCAGTATAAATTATGTAACCTCTATTTGAAACAAGACAATTTTCAGTACTAGTTTCTTATTTCCTAGGTTAAAAGAATTTGTTTTTAGTATTGAAATCATTTAGAGATGGTTAAGATTTCAGCATATCACCATTAGAATTAATTTTTTTACTTAAATAATCCATATCTTTAAGTGGGTATCCTAATGTATTAGCTCATGCTTTTAACAATATATGGAATATAACAAAATCCACATCATTTTGTTGAAACTGCCAACAATTCATTAATTATTGTTGATGCCCTTTAAGAAAACTATTCATTCTTTCAGCATTTATTAATGCTGTGTATAGAACACAAATAAATATATATTATCTGACTTGAAGTAAGTTATAACCCAATAAAATAAACATTGTTTTTTGTTACTGTAATGTGACATAGCCTGTGTTGACTTAGAGGAGAGTTACAAAGTAATTGAGAGATGAGAGAGATTGCTTACAACTAAAGGAATCAGGAATTACACCATCAGAAGTGAGGTGGCCTTGAACTAGGTCTTTATGATTCAGTGGAAACAGTCATGGAAAGAGTGTTTTTTTCCAGTTAGCTCTTTCCTTAGTCATTCCCTCAAGTTTTCCATTTTTGTCCACATACAGGCACTTTAGTGAGTTTCTGCGAAGTCACCATTTCTGTAAATACCAGATTGAAGTGCTGACCAGTGGAACTGTTTACCTGGCTGACATTCTCTTCTGTGAGTCAGCCCTCTTTTATTTCTCTGAGGTAATTCTGCATTTCCTTTTACACTCAACTAGAGCCTCTAAACTGTAAATTCTGGGGTCCTGTCTATACAAAACAATAAAAGACATATCATTCCCAAAAGATTTATTGTTACAAGTTATATCTAGTGGCCAGAATACTTAATGATGATGTAATATCAGATTTAAGAAAACATGAAAATTCAATGTAAAATAACTCCATTTTGAAAAAGCTTATCGAACTACTGCTTGTAAGATATGTGATTTTAATTTTGTGTGTGTGTGTGTGTGTGTGTACGTATACGTGTACACACTGATCCTATAGCTTCAACTCAGGAGAGCCTGAGTGCTATTCCTGAGCTTTTTAAAAAAGCCCAAGGCTAACCTCTACCACTTGAGCTAGGATTATAGGCATGAGCAACTAGCTAGTTTTGGAATTGTTAAGAGCATAGAATTTGATACTCAATTCCAGTGCACATTAATTGCACATCAGACTTCAGAGAATAGTAAAAATTTTTGCTATGCTTTTGATTTTTGCTTGAGCTATTAGATAGCATTGCCCAATGAAGCATTTGCTACAGTAAATATACTAATTTCTTTGAGACATAGAATTTATATAAGGCTTCAGAAAGTGAAATTCTTTTGTTACAAAGCAAATGGCTAATAAGAGGATTCTTAGTCTCTCAAAATAGTCACCTAGACAAGAATACATTTACTCAGTTGACTTGCTTTTTTTCAGCACTTGTTCAGGTAAATAAGTCCTCATGGAGTGATGGAAACAAGTGTAAATGATGTGGTTTGATTTTCTCATTAGCTGATTACACATGTGGAACTACTAATCCAATTTAGTACAATTTTTATTCTTCTAAAGTATTTTATAGGTCATCTTTCGCAAATTACTGTACAATGTTGAATGGTGAAGTAGAATGAAGTAGATCTTGCTGAGTGCCAGTGGCTCATGCCTGTAATCCTAGCTACTTGGGAGGCTGAGATCTGAGGCTCAAGGTTCAAATTTTGCCCAGGCAGAAAAGCTCCAGTGAGAATCTTATCTCCAATTAACCACTTGACACCTGGCAGTGACCAGGGGCTCATGGCTCATGTCTGTAATCCTAGCTTCTCAGGAGGCTGAGCTCTGAGGATCACTGTTCAAAGCCAGCCACAGCAGGAAGACTCTTACCTTCAGGAAACCAGAAGTGGTTCTGTGGATCAAGTGGTAGAGCGCTAGCCTTGAGCTGAAGAGCTGAGCAACAGCACCCAGGCCCAGAGTTCAAGCCCCACCAAAAAAACAAAAAACTGGAAGTGGTGCTGTGGCTCACGTGGTAGAGTGCTAGCCCTGAGCACAAAAAGGCTCAGAAACAATGTCCAGGCCTGAGTTCAAGCCCCACAACTGACCAAAACAAACAAACAAAACAAAAACAAAATGAAGTAAATCTTATTGAAGTAGATTATTTTGCTTCTTGCTTTCTACCTATATTTTAATATTTAAGGCTTATAGATTACAGATGGTGAAAGGAATGTTTCTAGTCTTGTTTTACACTTTTTATTTTTCCTTCCTAGTATATGGAAAAAGAAGATGCAGTGAATATCTTACAGTTCTGGTTGGCAGCAGATAACTTCCAATCTCAGCTTGCTGCCAAAAAGGGCCAGTATGATGGACAGGAGGCACAGAATGATGCCATGATTTTATATGACAAGTGAGTTTGATCAATTGATGCATTTAATAGATATTTATTGAGCATTATAGATTGAAAATAAAGATGAATAAACTCATTCTTTCCTGTCCAGGAGCTAATAGAGAACATAAAAGCTGATTTGCATATAGTGTGTGTTTCAACAAACATTCTAGTGAATATTTCTTTTGGGGAAAGGGAGGGTTAATACATTGTAAGCAGAACAACAAAGGTGTTCTGGGAGGGTTTCATAGGGAGACTTGCTTTGGATCCTTAAGAATAAATTGAGGGCTGGGAAGGTGGCTCAGTGGTAGAGCGCTTGCCTTGCATGCTTGAGGTTCGATTCCTCGGCACCACATAAGCAAAAAGAAAAAAGCCGGAAATGGCGCTGTGGCTCAAGTGGTAGAGCGCTAGCCTTGAGCTGAAGAGCTGAGGGACAGCGCCCAGGCCCAGAGTTCAGGCCCCACGACCGGACCCCCCCCAAAAAAAAAAAGAATAAATTGAGGAAGTGGTGCTGTGGCTCAAGTGACAGAGTGCTCACCTTGAGCTGAGTTGCTCAGGGCAGTGCCCAGGCCCAGAGTTCAAGCCCCATGACCAGCAAAAAATAAATAGAGGGCTGGGAATATGGCTTAGTGGTAGAGTGCTTGTCTAGCACGCAAGAAGCCCTGGATTTGATTCCTTAGTACCACATAAACAGAGAAGGCTGGAAGTAGCTCTGTGGCTCAAGTGGTAAAGTGTTAGCCTTGAACAAAAGAAGCTCAGGGACAGTGCCCAAGCCCTGAGTCAAGCCCCAGACTGGCAAAAAAGAAAAAGAATAAATTGAATATTGTCAAGCAGAGAAAGCAGGAAAGAAAATTCCAGGCATTGGCATAAGCAAAGTAATTGAAATTTGGAGAAATTTGGTACTTTTAAGAAACATGAATTGGGGGACAATATATATATGTGTGTGTATATATATATATATATATATATATATATATTTGATCTATTCATATGTGTGTACTATGTGTATATAGGTATGTGTGTGTATATATATGTATAGATAGATAGATAGATAATTGATTAGTGAGAGGTAGACAAAGAAGGCTTGGTGATTGCTCTTAACATGACCAAGGGCCTAGATTCCACAATCTCTACCACCAGAAACAGGAAGAAAATTGAAAACAAATAAAGAAACTTGAGTTTAGGTAGTCAAAGGAATTATAGGGGGAAATGTATGTGCATATATGTGTGTATAAAATCAAATGGAGGGGGCTGGGAAGGTAGCTCAGTGGTAGAGCGCTTGCCTTGCATGCCTGAGGCCCTGGGTTCGATTCCTCAGCACCACATAAGCAAAAAGAAAAGCAAAAAGAAAAAAGCCGGAAGTGGCGCTGTGGCTCAAGTGGTAGAGTGCTAGCCTTGAGCTGAAGAGCTGAGGGACAGTGCCCAGGCCCAGAGTTCAGGTCCCACAACCGGACCCCCCCCAAAAAAAAAAAATCAAATGGAGGCCCAGCAGTGATGGCTCATGCCTATAATCCTAGCTACTCAGAAGGCTGAGATCTGAGGATTATAGTTCAAAGCCAGCCCAGGCAGGAAAGTCCATGAGACTTTTATCTCCAATTAAACACCAGAAAACCAGAAGTAACTCTGTGGCTCAAGTGGTAGAGAGCTAGCTTGAGCTGAAGAGCCCAGGGACAGCATCTAGGCCCAGAGTTCAAGAACCAGGACTGACAAAAAAAAAAAAAGAAAAAGAAATAAAACGGAATAGGTTTCAAAGGACCTTGCTATGTATGTATGCTTGAAGGCTTATTTTCTTGTACAAATCTGCTTAGGCATATTACTAAACAAATTAGTTTTGTTTTTGGTGCTAGGGATTAATTTTGTGGCCTAACACATGGTAAACATTCATTACCCCCAGAGTTATTCCCATCCAGTTTTCACTGAAAGTGAGACATTAGAAAAAATGTTACAGTGACTAGCATTGAAAATGTCTGCTCAGACAATTGATGACTGGCCAGCTCCATAATCCTTCTCATTGAATTTTTATTTTTTTACTTTGTGAAGAAATTTGCTATTTGTATCCCCAAGCAAGCACTAAGGAAGTAACTTGAAGATAGAACTCCATGGGATTTTAGAGTTGGAAGAGAATCAAGAACTTATAGACAAGGAGACTGCAGCACATTAAGCTGTCTGCCTAAAAGTCACCTGGGAGCTTGATGTTTGTTTTTTGTGCCAGCTTGAACTCAGGGCCTAAGTGCTATCCCTCGAGCTTTTTCACTCAAGGTTGATACTCTACCACTTGAACCACAGTTCTAATCCTTACTTTTTGCTGATTTATTGAAGATAGGGTCTCATGAACTTTGCTTCCTGGGCTGGCTTTGTATTGCTATTCTCAAACCCTCAGGCTCCTAGGTAGCTAGGATTATAGGCATGAGCCTATTAAGAGCTTGTTAAAGCTGAGCACCAGTGGCTCACGCCTCTACTACTCAGAAGGCTGTCATCTGAGGATCATGGTTCAAAGCCAGCCCAGGCTGGAAAGTCCTCCAATAAACCACCAGAAAACCGGAAGTGGTGCTGTAGCTCAAGTGGTAGAGCGCTCGCCTTGAGCTGAAGAGCACAGGGACAATGCCCAAGCCCAGAGTTCAAGCCCCACCACCAACCAAAAAACAAACAAACAAAAAAACCAAAAGCTTGTTAAAAATAAGCTACCAGTGTTCTCTAAAACATTCTGAATTAGCAGGTTTGAGAGATGACCCAGGGAATCTTTAGTGTTAGAAAATAGTCAAAATGGAGATCTACTCTGGTTTTTTTTCCCCCTCTTTTTTTTTTTTTGGTCGGTCATGAGGCCTGAACTCTGGGCCTGGCCACTGTCCCTGAGCTCTTCAGCTCAAGACTAGCACTGTACTTCTGTCTTTTTCTGCTTATGTGGTGCTGAGGACTCAAACCCAGGGCCTCATGCATGCGAGGCAAGCACTCTACCACTAAGCCACATTCCCAGCCTTTCCCCCTCATTTTGTAGATGTGGAAATTAAAGCCCAAAGAGGAAATGAAGTCTTAGAGCGTGTTTGCAGCAAGACTTAGACTAGAATGAAATTCTTAACATTCTGTCTAGCATAAGACATTTATGGAAGATAAAAGAAACATTGATACCTGCTGAAATGACAAGAGTTTGAATGTAGAAATTTAGTCTCAAGTGCCTGAAAGTTTAAAATCATTCACTTGCTTATTTCTTACAACATGGGAGATATAGTGTTTGTTATGAAAATGCTGATTTTATATTCTGGAACAGAACAGTGATCTAAGGCTAGAGTTTAGAGCAAGACTGGTTTTCTCACTAGATCCCATTTTTACTTGAGGAGCCATTTTTATTTATTTTTTATTTTTTTTATTTTTTGGGTCCGGTTGTGGGACCTGAACTCTGGGCCTGGGTGCTGTCCCTCAGCTCTTCAGCTCAAGGCTAGCGCTCTACCACTTGAGTCACAGCACCACTTCCGGCTTTTTTTTTTTGAGGAGCCATTTTTAAATGAAGATGATAGGCGTACCATTGGCACCGTCATTTTGCTAAGTTTCTTGTACAAGATTTGACTTACAACTACCTACTTGTTTGTTCTTATATATAAAATACAAGAAGGACATTATCAAGCCTTGCTGTATTTCTGTCCTATATGAGAAAGAGAGCCACTAGAGTACTCTTATTTTTTTTCTGCCTTTTTGGTGTCCATTTTATAGTCAACTTACCAAAACATCTGCTGCATTATGTCCTATCAAATTACAAATCTTTAAGTTACCATTGTTTCTTTTCATTTCCTTAAATCATCAGCAAGTCCTATGCATTCATTCCAAATATCTCACATTCATTCACTTCACCCTTTTTCCTTTTTATTCCTACCTATTTATTTTTTATTTTTTATTTTTTTGGTCGGCCGTGGGGCTTGAACTCTGGGCCTGGGCGCTGTCCCTCAGCTCTTCAGCTCAAGGCGAGCGCTCTACCACTTGAGCTAAAGCGCCACTTCCGGTTTTCTGGTGGATTATTGGAGATAGGAGTCTCACGGTCTCTCCTGCCCGGGCTGGCTTTGAACCGCGATCCTCAAATCTCAGCCTCCTGAGTAGCTAGAATTACAGGCGTGAGCCACCAGTGCCCGGCTACCTATTTATTGTTTATGCTTTGTATTATGATCTTATATTTTCATTATATCGTGTGCACAGTTCTTCTTTGTTATCTTTTCAGGGGAAATATGTCTTTCTCTTAAACCTTAATTTGGACTACTAAGCCCTGAACAGGAACATAGGTCCATTAAATATATGTGGTTGTTTGATTTATTTGCTTCTTTTGTGATCTCTCACAGATGTTAAAACGATAGCAAAGTTGGTTGGTCAGAAACTGAAGATGATTGAAAAGCAGATAGGGACGTAGTAAGTTGACCAGGTATCTTTAAGAAAATGAGAATAGGTAAATAAAGGTTATAGCAAGGCTGTCATCACCCATATCTATTTGAATCATGTAGGTAGGTATAGGTACCTAAAGATTTGGAATTTGGTTTTACTCTGGATATCTTTCTGACATAGGTACTTCTCCCTCCAAGCCACACATCCTCTTGGATTTGATGATGTTGTGCGATTAGAAATTGAATCCAATATCTGCAGGGAAGGTGGGCCACTCCCTAACTGCTTCACAACACCATTACGTCAGGCCTGGACAACCATGGAGAAGGTAACTAAGATATTAAAAAGTATTAAACTACAAGTTTTATTGGTGGAACCCAGAAAAATATGGGGAAAACGAAACATAACCTACAGTAGAAAATGGAAACAGTTCAGCCTAGTGATTAAGAGCAGAGGCTTTGAGTCTGTCTTGATATGTATTAACTTCACCGTTATAGGGTAACTAATGCCATTTTTCTCATCTGTAGAGAAGAAATAATACCAGTTATTTTAGGATGAAAATGAGGTATAAAATGCTTATTAATGTCCATGGTATAATTAGGGAAGGAGTCCAAAGGTATAATTCCTCTGAAAAACTAATGAGCTGTTTAACAAAGTGAATGCTAGGAAGAAGAATGGAGAAAGGAAAGGTGTTAATGTACATTATGTGAAAATTGAACTATAGAACTTGAAGGTTGGGGGAAACAATGGAAAGGGTGACATTGATCAAGATGTATTGTACTTACGGAGTTGAAGCTTCTTTATACAACTACTTAATAATGAAAGAAAGAAATGCCAGAATTAAAAAGCATTTTTAAAAAGTTATTGTTACTGTTAGTCATGTATAAGTATAAGCAAGGTTAGCTTAGGATTGATACAAATATTTTTCAATTTCTGCTATTAAAATTGAAACACTTTTTGTTTTCAGATTATATTTATTTTGTAAATCTTTTATGTATAACTCAAGTGCTGATGGCTCATGCCTGTAATCGTGAGATCTAAGGATCATGATTTGAAGCTAGCCCAGGCAGAAAAATTCATGAGACTCTCATCTCCCATTAATCAGCAAAAGCTGGAAGTGGAGATATGGCTCAAATAGTAGAATGCCAGCCTTGAGTTTAAAAAGGCCAAGCAAGAGCTCAAGGCTCTTGAGTTCAAGTCCCCCAATACCAGCACCAAAAAAGAAAAAAAGATATATATCTTATACTTTTCTAAAATGTTTTTATGAAAAATTTCAAGCATTTAACAAAGTTAAATAATTTTACAGTGAAAATTCCTAGACCCACTCATTTATATTCTTCCATTGCTCTACATACCTGTAATCCATTCACCTATTAATTTCTTTTATGTACATGTATCTTTATTAATATTCATCTTATAAATGTCAAATTAGTGTTTTTGTATCCAACTTTGATACAATTCTTGTAGTTTTCCATGTTGTCAAAAACTTTACTATAACAATTTCTCTACCTTTAGACTTGTGTTCTATCACTTGTGAAATACTGTTTTTATATGTCATGATCACTTACAAGGTATCACAAATAGGTTGATCATAATGAAGTGTTAAAACCTGTAAATGACTTAGTCTTTTATTTTTTTATTGTTAAAATATTGTACAAAGGGGTTACAATTACATGGGCAAGATAATGAGTACATTTCTTATCAAGCATTGTAGCCCCTCCCTTGTTTCCCCTTCCCATCTCTTCCCATCCTCCCCCCCTACCCCGCCCCCCCCCCACTTAGTCTTTTAAAATAGAATAGTTTTACGAGCTGGGCACTGGTGTCTCACACCTGTAATCCTTGCTATTTAGGAAGCTGAGATCTGAGGATTGCAGTTCAAAGCCAGCCTGGGCAAGAAAGTCCATAAGACTCTTATCTCCAATAAACCACTCAGGAAAGTCCTGAATTGGAGCTGTGGCTCAAGTGGTAGAGCCTAGCCTTGAGCCAAAGAAGCTCAAGAACAGGGCCCAGGCTCTGAGTTCAAGCCCCAGGACCCATACCAATAAATAAATAAGTAAATAGATTTTGCAACAAATTGCACAGAGTCCAGGGTAAGTTAATGTTATCATTAAGTTAATTACCATTAACATATTATGTTGCTAATTTATGCCATATGTGTCCAAGTAGAAAAAAATTAAGCACTGATACATAATACTGCACACAAAAGAATAAAGTTAAAATTATATATATAGCAAATGAAATCATTAAAATTCTGGAAGTAATATAATACAGTATCAGTAATTACCCAGAGATGATCATTTTTCCATTGTTAAAATTAAAACTTTTCTGGTTTTAGAGAATAACCTAGGGCTGGGATGTAGTTCAGTGGCAAAGCGCTTGCCTAGCAAGTGCAATGTCTTGGGTTCGATCCCCAGTACCAAAAAAAAAAGAAAGAAAGAAAAGACCAAAAAAAATACAGAGAATAACCTATAGCATGTAAAGAATGTAAACTTTCTGGGAGGTAAATACAGAGAAAACCAGAATGCAACTAGGCACTTTGTATATGTTGTATATGCCTTTAATCCTGGCTACTTGAAGGCTGAAAATGGAAGAATTACAAGTGTGAGGCCAGTTTGGGGCACTTAGACCATGTCTCAAAATAAAAATAAAAATGGACTGGAGATATGGTATAGAACTTCCCAGTATGATACGGAGAAGGGAGGAGCAAAAATGGTCTTGTGGGATTGGAGGCATGGCTCAGTTGATAGAACACTTAACCAGTGAACAAAAGCATCAGGTACCAACCAAATTCAAGCCCTGATCCAGACCTAAAAGAAAAGAAAGAAAAGAAAAGGTTCTTACTACATGTTTTTAGGTTAGGAACTTGCATAAATGTTTTTTTGGGGGGAGGTTGTTGTTTGTTTTATGGGGGGGATTGGGTGTGCTGGTACCGAGGCTTGAGGTCAGAGCCTCTTGATCTTGCTTGGCTTGTGTCCTAAAGCTTGGAGCTCTACACTTGAACCACATCTCTTCCAGCTTTTTGCTGGTTAATTGAAAATAATACTTTTAAAGACTTTTCTGCCTGGGATAGCTTCAGACTATGATGTTTAGATCTCAGCTTCCTGATTTGCTAGGATTACAGACATGAGCACCAGCACTTGCCTTTATTTATTCATTCATTCATTTATGTATTGGTTGTGGGAGTGTTCTACCACTTGATCCACAGCACCACATCTGGTTTTCTGGAGGTTAATTGGAGATAAGAATCTCATGGACTTTCCTGCCTAAGCTGGATTTGAACCACGTTCCTCAGATCTCAGCCTCTTGAGTAGTTAGGATTACAGACGTGAGCCACCTGCACCTGGCTTGCCTGTAATTTTTTTGCCCCTGTGCTAGTGTTTGGAACTGAGCCTCATTCATGCTAGGCAGGTATTCTGACCCTTGAATCACACACCTCAACCCCTTTTTTGCTTTCATTATTTTTAAGATAGAATCTCACTCTTTTCCTCAAGCTAGCCTCAACCATGAATCTCCCTATCTACAGATTCGTGTGTACTTGGGATTACAGGCTTTATATTAACCATGCCTGACTTATTTATTGAGATGAGGGTCTCACTTTTTCCCCAGGCTGGCTTCAAATCATGATCCTCTCAATCTCTGCCTCCTGAGTATCTCTGACTGTGTCTGGCTATGATAATTTAGAGAACACTTAGCATAACCTTGGTATATGAGTGGGAAAAGGATATAATAACTCATTTATTAAATGCTTTCATGAAAGTAAACTAAGCAACACAAGGGTGGTGATAAGAGGGAGGAAATGAGAGAGAAAAGAGAACAGCCGATACTAAGCAAAAGGAAAGAAATGTACATATCACCCAATCTGGAAGAAACAGTTTTATTGTTATAGTTCGTAGAGTTCGTAAGCTTTGTATATTAGAATGATGATGATTATCGTTGTGAAGGTTAAAATATGTTTGTGACTTTAGCTGAGTATAACTATGCCAGTAATGTGAAATTCATGTAGTTACTTATTCTCAATAAAGAAATCCTTGGGGGGAAATGCTTATAGTATTTTTATACTGGTAAACAAAAGAAATGTGACTTATGTTTCCCTTCCCAGTCACTATTCTGTAAAGAAGACATGTTAAATACAGACATACATATTTACAGTTATACTAAGCACTGGAAGTTTTGTTGTTAAACAGTTCAACTAATAACCATGGAAACTTAGCATCACCAGCAATTACTGAATACAAGACAATATGCGCCATTAGGCATTTATTTAACAATCATTTTTTGGGTGGGAGGTAGTGCCCAAGCATTGGAAAGTCTGTGTGGGATGCTGTTTTTGCTGCTAGTAGGGTTTGAATTCAGTACCTTGTGCTTGTTCACTTGGCTGGTGCTCTACCACATGAGCCATACGTCCAGCCCAGTTTTTTTTTTTACTGGTTATTTCAGAGACAGCATTTCATGGACTTTCTGCCTGGACTGGATTTGAACCCAGGTCCTCTGAATCTTAGTTCCTGAGTAGCTAAGGCGGGGGAGGGGGGGAAGATTGGGGGCAGCAGAATTATAGGTTTGAGCCAAAATATAGAACTGAGCCAAATCCCATTGTTTCTTTTATCTTTCTCTTTTTTGTCAGTGTGGGGGACTGAATTTGAAAGGCAAACGAGTCACATCTTTAATCCACAGATACTTTGCTATATTGCTGGTGTTGCAAATCGGTAACATTCTTTGAAAGGATACATTGGCCAGTATTTCAAAGCTAAAATTTAACTCAGCAATTACACTCCTGATAATTTATCTTAGGGAAATGAGTTCAGGTGCACAAATCCATATGTGCACACTTTTTTTGTGTGCATGTTGGCACTCAAGCTTGAACTCAAATGCTTGAGCTTGGCTTTTCTGCTTATATTGGCACTGTGCCACTTGAACCATACTTCTACTTCCGGCTTTTTGCTGGTTAATTGGAGATAAGAGTCTCATGAACTTTCCTGTCTAGTCTGTCTTCAAACTTCAACCCTCAGATCTCAGCCTCCTGAGTAGTTAGCATTATAGGAGCTACCAGCTCCTGGCGGCTAAGACGTTAAATATTTATTACATACATACCCCTAAGAAAAAAATTAGTTTCAGATGATATCTAATCTATGGAAACTAATTCTGCTTTCTAAAATGTGAAGTGTGTAATTTCTATGACAGATATTTGGCAAGGGAACAACATTAAATACATTGTCATTTTATGGCATAAAGGTATATGCAAAGGGATAATAGAATATAGCAAGGAAAAAGTACAAATATTTGTAGTAGAATTTTAAGTAAAGTTTAATATAAGAGATGCATTTGATTTTCAACTTTAAAATAATGTTTTCCATCCATTTCAGGTCTTTTTGCCTGGCTTTTTGTCCAGCAATCTTTATTATAAGTATTTAAATGACCTCATCCATTCCGTTCGAGGAGATGAATTTCCTGGAGGGAATGTTTCACTGGCTGCTCATAGCTCTGTAGGCCTTCCAGATGAGTCTCACTCGGGAGGTTCCGATAGCTCCACCTCTCAGGTATTAATCTGGTTTGCATCTATTATGAGGAAAAGCATGCAATTTTTTTCATTCACATACCAATAGCAAACCATGTTTATTTATAACTTTTTGTTATAGTTACAAGAAATAAAATTAATCTACTTAATACAAATTCTAATCAGAGTACTTGTGGTGATTAACCATTATAGTATAGTGTAAAGTATCATGCTTTTTAATTCAGGTCATTAATCTGCTTACCATCATTGCTTTTATGCTTACTAATTAAATACATTAAATTATATTTATAGCATCTGAAGAGCCTTTTGTGTAATTGTTTGCTTTCTTAATACCATATTTTACTCAATAGTTTTTAGCTTTAGTTTGAACTAATTGTATTTATTTTGAACTCATTGTATATTTCCTTTTGTGGTTTTTGTTGAGTGTTGTCATATATCACACCTTATCAAATTCTCCCCTAAATCAAATGAAGGGGCTATTCCCAAGATAGGAGATCAAATGGAGACATTATAAAGTTAACTGATTTTATTAAAATCACATAGTAAGTGGTACAGCCAGAAATAATTCTCTATTGTTCTTTCTCATGGCTTAAAAATACAGATTAATAATTTTTACGTCACTATAAACAACATTTTGAATCTTTTGATTCTTGACCTTAGATAAATTAAAACCCCCTTTTTTTTAAATTTTTTTTTTTGGGGTCTAGTCATGGGGCCTGAACTCTGGGCCTGAGCGCTGTCCCTCAGGTCTTCAGCTCAAGGCTAGTGCTCTACCACTTGAGCCACAGTGCCACTTCTGGCTTTTTTCTTTTTGCTTATGTGGTGCTGAGGAATCAAACCCTAAAGTGACGAGAAAAAGTAATGCTCATCTATGCTATCAAGTCAGGACAGTGCTACCTTGGTACAGGGAAGGTTAATGATTAAAAGAGGCTTACGAAGGGTTACTTGACAGGTAGCTAAGTGTAGTTGTTATGTTGTTTTGTTTTGTTTGTTGGTCCTAGAGTTGGTCTCGGGCTGTTCCCCTACTATTTGAGCCATGCTTGCAGATTGTGTGTGTGTGTGTCTGTGTGTCTGTGTGTGTGTGCGCGCATGCATGTGTGTGCATGCATGTGTGTGCGCGTGCGTGCATGCTATTCCTGGTTAGTGGTTACTGGAGCTTGAAGTTAGAATACTGTGCTCTTGTTTGGATTTTTCAATCAAGACTAATGTGCTACCATTTGAACCATACTTCCTCTTCTGGCTTTGCTACTTAGTTGGACATTAAAGTCTCACTTTTCTCTCTGGGCTAGCTTTCTTTGGACCATAACTCTCAATCTCAGCCTGCTGGGTAGTTAGGATTACAAATGTAAAGCCACCAGCACCTGGCTGCATTGAATATTTTTGAGGTAGGGTCTCAATTTTTCCTAAGCCTGCCTAGGCTTACTGTTTTTGTTTCATGAGGGATGACCAGTGCATGCAACTGCACCAGCCTTTTGTCAAGATGGAATTTTTATGCTGGTCTTGAACTGCACTCTCCCATCACTACATCCAGGTAGCTAGGATTCCAGGCTTGAACTTCCATAACCCAGCTTGTCCATTTTGCCTTTTGATAAAAGCTAGAATGGCTTTTTTTATTAGACATGTTTAGGTACTAGGTCTTAGTTTTCTAGTGATGTCTGGTTTTGATACCCAAGACATAGTGATATCATTGAATTGATGGGGCAATAGTCTTTTATTCTAGTTTTGTTTTGTTTTGTGCTTTTTGTTTTTTGTTTCGGTTGTGGGTTTTTTTTGTTGTTGTTGTTAGTCCTGGGCTTGAACTCAGGGCCTGAGTGCTCTCTGAGCTTCTTTTGCTGAAGGCAAGCACTCTATCACTTGAGCCCCAGCACCACTTCTGGCTTGTTTTGAAAAGTTTACTGGAGATAAGAGTCTCATGGACTTTTCCTGCCTGGGCTGTCTTTGAACCATGATCCTCAGATCTCAGCCTCCTGAGTAGTGAGGATTACAGGCATGATCTACTGGTGTCCAGCTATTTGTTAAATTATGTGCTGCTTTGGATTGCTCTTTATATCTATTTAATTATTTTGTTTTATTAATCTATCCCTTAGGTTATAAACATTAAGCTGTTATTCCCTTTTTGCTATTTTAAACCATGCTGTAATGAATAATCTATGTAAGTTGTGCATAAATGTAAGGCTGTCTGAAATTGTATTTCAAGAACTGGAATTTTTGGGTCAGCTCATAGTTGTTTCATGAAAATACCAATTCTGACTTGCTTTTGTTTTTTTTGTGGGAGTGATAAGAGTAGGAGAAGGGGAACTTATTGTACTGAATCACTATAGAAAGGATTGTTTAATTTCTCATTTGTCACAAGTCTCATAATAATCAAAAGCATTCTTATTTATTCTGTAAAAAAGAGGGTGTTGCATTTCTTAACCATGATACAATTGCCTGGACGGATGAGTTTTTCAAACAGAATAATTCCTGTGAGGATAGCACATTTACTGGGGTACATGTCATTAAGAAAACAGATTTGGTAGCTGTGTGCTAGTGGCTCATGCCTGAAATCTAGCTACTCAGGCTGAGATCTGGGGATCATGGTTCAAAGCTAGCCTGAGCAGGAAAGTCTGTAAGACTCTTATCTCCAACTGGGAATAGTGCTATGGCTCAAAGTGATAGAGCGCTAGCCTTGAGTGAAAAAGCTCAGGGACAGTACCCAGGGCCCTGAGTTGAAGCCCCACTTGATGTACAAATTCTTGTTACACATTTTTGTCTTGTGAGTTCTCCTCCTGTAGGTGTAGTCGGAGGATACATATCAGAATCATTCTGTTGCCATTAAACTTCTTAGTAGTGAAGGAGTTGAATAAAAATTATAGTTGAAACACTGAAAAAAAATTTGTCTGTATTTCTAACTCAAAACTGGTTTGATTTTTGAATAATATACTAATTTTTTACAATTTCTATTATAGTCCAATGTGAAAAAAGCCAGTATTAAAATTCTGAAAAATTTTGATGAAGCAATAATTGTGGATGCTGCAAGTTTGGATCCAGAATCTTTATATCAACGGACATATGCAGGGTAAGCTTAGCTCATGTCTCAATTTTCATAAAGAATTTAACATCTTAGCCAGGCACTGGTGGCTCATGCCTATATTCCTAATTACTCAGAAGGCTGAAATCTGAAGATGATGGTTTGAAGCCAACCCTGTAGACACATCTAAAACATTCTTATCTGTAATTAACCTGCACAAAAGGCAGAACTGGACACATGACCCAAGTAATAGAACACTAGCCATGACTGAAAAAGCTAAACAAGAGCTCAAAGATCTGAGTTCAATCCTTGAAATCTCACTTGACTACACAGTAAGATCCAACCCAGTCTGGTCAACACAGAATGACCCTTACAAAAGAGAGAAAAAAAAATAATTATGACTGAAGTATTTTATATGTAGGTATGAGAACAGAATAATGAAACATGTTAAAATAGCTTTTCAGGAAAAGTACATTATGTGCGTGTATGGAAATACCACAATGAGACATGATAACACTAATAAAGACAAAAAGTTGTTGAGTGCCAGTGGCTGACACCTATAATCCTAGCTACTCAGGAAACTGAGAACCCGGGCAGGGAAGTCCATAAGACTGTCACCTCCAGTTAACCAGCAAAAAGCCAGAAGTAGAGCTATGTTCAAGTGATAAAGTACTAGCCATGAGCAGAAAAGCTCAGGGACAGTGCCCAGCCCCTGAGTTCAAGCCCCAGGACTGTCCAAAAGAAGTAAGATTTAGCTAGGCACCGGTGGCTCACACCTGTAATCCTAGCTACTCAGGAAGCTGAGATCTGAGAATCACAGCTCAAAGCTAGCCCAGGCAAGAAAGTCCATGAGACTCTTATCTCCAATAAACCACTAGAAAATTGGAAGTGGCCCTGTGGCTCCAGTGGTAGAGCTCTAGCCTTGAGCTGAAGAGCTGAGGGACAGGGCCCAGGCCCAGAGTTCAAGCCCCCCCTCCCCCACCGACCCAAAAAAAAAAAAAGTAACACTTAATCTTTTTTGTAGGATTAGTATTGGAGCTTGAAGTCAGGGTCTTACATTTGCAAAGTACTCTAAACTTTCCCATATCCTCAACTCAATACCAAGCATAATGTATTTCTTTTTGTTGTTTTGAATTTTTTTTTTTGGTACCAAGGCTTATACTCAGAATGCCATGCTCTTCTCAGCTTTCTTGCTCAGCTGGCACTCTACTACTCGCCTTAGCCTCCCTAGTTCTTAGATTACAAGCATGTATCGCCACACTTGGCTTTTTCCTTTGCAAAGTTGTCTTGGCTGTTCTTGTGCCTTTTTCTGTGTGTGTGTGTGTGTGTACTTTAGAATAATGAATTATCTATCAGTCTGTCAAGTTTACCAAACCTTAGGATTTTTTAATGCAATTATATTAGATTACTTTGCTCTCTGTGGAGGAAAGTTTTATTTTAAATATACCCACTTAGAATAACAGAAAAACAAGCCATGTGCCATTGGCTCACGCCTGTAATCCTAGATACTCAGGAGGCTGAGATCTGAGGATCGTGGTTCAAAGGCAGCCTGGGCAGAAAAGTCCGTGAGACTCCTATCTCCAGTTAACCACCAGAAAACTGGAAGTGGCACTGTGGCTCGTGGTAGAGCACTAGCCTTGGGTAAAGACCTAAGGGGCAGCACCCAGGCCCAGAGTTCAAGCTCCATGACCAAAAAAAAAAAAAAAAAAAAGAATAACAGAAAAGCTATAAATTGTGTTTCTAGCTTCCTAGATTTGGATAAGATACTTAAAGTTGATTTTGATTGTTAGCAGTTATATTTTTCTTTTCATCCTTATATAGGAAGATGACATTTGGAAGAGTCAGTGACTTGGGGCAGTTCATCCGAGAATCTGAGCCTGAACCTGATGTAAAGAAATCAAAAGGTTATGATAACTTTATGCTTCATCTTAAGCTTTTTCTTACTCACTGGTTGCCAATTAGAGGTTAAGCTGGTCATACCACCAAGTCTCTTATGCTTATGGTCACAGTAAGTGAAAAGGCTTTGTATAAGTCACAAATTTATACAAGTTTCTTCCAACTAGGCACCAGTGGCTCATACCTGTAATCCTAACTACTCAGGAGGCTGAGATCTGAGGGTCATGGTTCAAAGCCAGCCTGGGCAGAAGTCCATGAGACTCTTATCTCCAATAGACCACCAGAAAAATGGAAGTGGGGCTGTGGCTCAAGTGGTAGAGCGCTCACCTTGAGCTGAAGAACTCAGGGACAGCACCCAGGCCCAGAGTTCAAACCCCATGATTGGCAAAAAAAAAAAGTCTCTTCCTCTGAATGTAAAGTTACTGAACTTGCTTTCCCACTATAGAAGGCACAGCAACACAAGAAAATACTGTTCAGCTGGACACTGGTTGCTCACACCTGTAATCCTAGCTACTCAGGAGGCTGAGATCTGATGATCACTGTTCGAAGCCAGCCCAGGCAGGAAAATCTGTGAGACTTATCTCCAGTTAACCACCAGAAAATGAGAAATATTACTATGGTTCAAAGTGGTAGAGCAAAAAAACCCTTGAACAGAATTGCTTAGGGACAGAACCCAGGCCCCAAGTTCAAGCCCCATGACTGACAAAAATAAATAGGGGCTGGGAAGGTGGCTCAATGGTAGAGTGCTTGCCTTACATGCATGAGGGTCCTAGGTTCGATTCCTCAGCACCACATAAGCAGAAAAAGACGAAAGTGGCATGTGGCTCAAGTGGTAGAGTGCTAGCCTTGAGCTGAAGAGCCGAGGGACAGTGCCCAGGCCCAGAGTTCAGGCTCCAAGACCGACAATAAATAAATAAAAATAATAAATAAAATAATCTTTACATTTCCTAATGGCAAGATACCAAATCTGGATTGGCCTTCGGGGTTTTTTGGCCCTTTATTTTGTTAAATTTTCTCAAAATAGCTACAGTATGTGTAGAAAATATTAATAAGTTTAAATTTATATCCTTTTTTTCAGTCAGCAGAGGAGCAGCTTGGCAAGTCTAAGAATTAGACTGAAATCTTTTCTGACAGTACATTCTTTGTAACCAAGTCTAGGTTCCAAAGTATTTGGTTAACAAGAGATTTTGTAAAGTGTCTATCTATTCTTTAAGATTGATCCATTGTTCATCTTCCTACAAAATTTAATAGTACTGTATTTCTGTTATGATTAACTTATTTTCTTAATGCAACATCAGTTGGCTAATCAATTTTACCCTTTATTTTGATAAATAATCTATGGGTTACATATATATTAACAAAGTAAGCAAAAAATCTAACAGTTGTTGAAATAATTTAGAACAAAGAAGGGCCTCATTGACCTTACTTATATTAGTTGCTATTTTATCAGAAATGTGTCAGGTGGGGGCTGGGAATGTAGCTGAATGGTAGAATGCTTACCTCATATGCATGAAGCCCTAGGTTCGTCAGTACCACACAAACAGAAAAAGCCAGAAGTGGCACGGTGGCTTAAGTGGTAGAGTCCTGGCCTTGAGCAGAAGAAGCTTCGGACAGTGCCCAGGCCCTGAATGTAAGCCCCATGACTGGCAAATAAATAAATAAAAAAGATGGTTGTGGACTGGGACACTTCAACAGAATTATTTTAAAAATTAAAAAAATCAAGATTAGAAGAATGGTTTAAGTGATAGAGTGCCAGCTGTGAGCAAGCAAGTTGAACAAGCTGAAGTCCCTGGGTTCAAGTCCTGTAACTGGTAGGGGGGAAAAATGAATAGAGGATTGAGCTAGAAATGTTGGCATGTCAGGAGATAAGACCAATGTAGCTAGAGTGAGTGAGCAGAGGAATGAATGGTAGAAGGTGAGTGAGAGATCATAGGCAAGGACTGGAAATTATTAGGGACCCTTGAAGGTTGGAATAGGAAGCAATGTGATATGACGGATGCATTACATGGATTATTCTGGCAGTCATTTGGAAATAGACTATAAAGTTTAAAAGGAGAAGCAGAACATTCTTGACAGGGATCAGTAGATTAGGCTGGTAGTGGAGGAACAGTCAGATTTTGGGTGATGTTTGATAATTGAGGAAACAGGATTTTATCTCTTCTAGAAATTCTGTCCATCAAGTTATTTATGTAACCAAGACCCATCTACATAAAATAATGAGAGGAATTTGAGCAGTTTAGTTAAATACTTCCATATATGGTGGTACTTTCTTTGGTTGTCCAGATGTCTCAGCAAAGTATATTTTGGTAGTGTAGGAACATAGAAATTGAATTCACTTACTCATAAGATGTTTAAGTGCTTCTTGTGTTCCATGTACCAAGCTAGATGCCAGAGTTATAAATAAGAGGTATAGTCCCAATTAGTTTTACCCTCAGTTGGTTCCTTTTTTGTTGTTGTTGTTATGTTGCTTGAACTCTTGGTCTGGGCACTGTCCCTCAGCTCTTCAGCTCAAGGCTAGTGCTCTACCACTTGAGCAACAGCACCACTTCTGGTTTTATCTGGTGGTTAATTGGAGATAAAAGTCTCCCGGACTTTCCTGCCTGGTCTGGCTTTTAACCATGATCCTCAGATCTCAGCCTCCTTAGTAGCTAGGATTACAGCTGTAAGCCACCTGCGTCCAGCAGTTGGTTCCTTTTTTAAGACTCTGACCTGTTAAACATAACAGTTCAATTAATCTTCAGAATGCTCAACCTTCTGGATTTTCCTTATTGTGTTGTTTACTGTATTCTTTGTCCCCTTCATTTTTTTTTTGTTTCTGTTTTTGTTTTTTGGTCGGTCATGGGGCTTGAACTCTGGGCTTGAGCGCTGTCCCTCAGCTCTTCAGCTCAATGCAAGCACTCTACCACTTGAGCCACAGCGCCACTTCCTGTTTTCTAGTGGTTTATTGGAGATAAGAGTCTCATGGACTTTCCTTGCCCTGGCTGGCTTTGAACCGTGATCCTTAGATCTTAGCCTCCTGCGCAGCTAGGTGCCCAGCTTCCCCTTCATTTTTTATAAACTGGAAGTTACCCATTTTTTGTTAAAACAGATCATAGGTTCTGTTGGATATAGTGTTTTTAAGAAAATTCTCTATAATATTGGAGTTATAAATTAAAGTGTTACCTGAAAAGACATACAAAAACAAGAACAAAAATGTAGTTACTTTAGAGAGTGGGTCTTTTACTTTATATCTTTTGCCTCTACTTTATGAAATGTAGACTGGTAAAATACTGTATATTTCACTGCTTCATCCACTCCATTCTTTATTAAGTGTCCCCTTCTGGAATCTATAAACTACCTTTCACAAACAAAGCTCTGCTTGGACTATCTTGTATGTTGCAGTTTCTTCTTTTACAGGCCTCCCAACATTGCTTTTTCCCCTGCCGTGGCTTTCGTGTAGTGACCGACTTTTTCTTCTTACTATTGTCTCTTCACAGAGGTAGCCACCAAAAGAATATTTCTTTACTTTCTCACTTCTTTTTTTTTGGGGGGGGGTGGTCTGCTCATGGGGCCTGAACTCTGGGCCTGAGCACTGTCCCTCAGCTCTTCAGCTCAAGGCTAGCACTCTACCACTTGAGCCACAGCGCCACTTCCAGCTTTTTTCTTTTTGCTTATGTGGTGCTGAGGAATCAAACCCAGGGCCTAAGGCATGCAAGGCAAGCGCTCTACCACTGAGCCTCCTTCCCAGCCCCTCTCACTTATTTTCTAAAGCTTTTTTTTGGTCATGAGGCTTGAACTCAGGGTCTGGGTGCTGTTCCTGAGCAAGATCTTGTGTTCAAGACTAGCACTGTCCCACTTTGAACCACAGTGCCACTTCTCCTTTTTATTACTCATGTTTGAATACCTGTTTATGGTCTGTTTCTCTTTTATGGCTAGAATACTACATCTCTGAGAACAGGGATTGTTTATTGTACTTGGTAGTATATTCCGTGATTCTAAAATTATACATACCACACATGGTAGGCACTGAGTATGTATTGCTTGAATTAATTGATCCTGAAGAATTTCAGGAAGATTAACTGAATAGTTTTTTAAAGTTCAATGTTTTGTTTTTGTTTGTTTGATTTTTGCTAGTCCTGGGGCTTGAACTCGGGGCCTGGGCACTGGCCCTGAGCGTCTTCTGCTCAAGGCTAGCACTCTACCACTTGAGCCACAGCACCACTTCCGGCTTTGTTTTTTGCTTATGGGTGCTGAGGAATCAAACCCAGGGCCTAAGGCATGCAAGGCAAGCGCTCTACCACTGAGCCTCCTTCCCAGCCCCTCTCACTTATTTTCTAAAGCTTTTTTTTGGTCATGAGGCTTGAACTCAGGGTCTGGGTGCTGTTCCTGAGCAAGATCTTGTGTTCAAGACTAGCACTGTCCCACTTTGAACCACAGTGCCACTTCTCCTTTTTATTACTCATGTTTGAATACCTGTTTATGGTCTGTTTCTCTTTTATGGCTAGAATACTACATCTCTGAGAACAGGGATTGTTTATTGTACTTGGTAGTATATTCCGTGATTCTAAAATTATACATACCACACATGGTAGGCACTGAGTATGTATTGCTTGAATTAATTGATCCTGAAGAATTTCAGGAAGATTAACTGAATAGTTTTTTAAAGTTCAATGTTTTGTTTTTGTTTGTTTGATTTTTGCTAGTCCTGGGGCTTGAACTCGGGGCCTGGGCACTGGCCCTGAGCGTCTTTTGCTCAAGGCTAGCACTCTACCACTTGAGCCACAGCACTACGTCTGGCTTTTTCTGTTTATATGATACTGAAGAGTCAAACCCAAGGCTTCCTGAATGCTAGGCAAGCACTCTACCATTAAGCCACATTCCCAGACCCTAAAAGTCCAATTTTTTAAGACTTGGTTGGACTGGTACTCTTGTTGGGTAAGCCACTTTATATATATATATATAAAGTAGCTTGATCTTTCATATTTTATAGGAATCAGACACAAACACATATGACTTCATTTTTTTTCTTTTGAAATCCACTTTCCTCTTGCTCTTAAGAATTTTCTTAGCCAGGTGCTAGTAGCTACTCAGGAGGCTGAGATCTGAGGATCACCATTCAAAGCCAGCCTGGGCAGGAAAATCTGTGAGACTCTTTTTTTGGGGGGGTAAAGGGGGGTCCGGTCATGGGGCCTGAACTCTGGGCCTGGGTGCTGTCCCTCAGATCTTCAGCTCAAGGCTAGCGCTCTACCACTTGAGCCACAGCGCCACTTCTGGCTTTTTTCTTTTTGCTTATGTGGTGCTGAGGAATTGAACCTAGGGCCTCTGGCATGTAAGGCAAGCGCTCTACCACTGAGCCATCTTCCCAGCCCATCTGTGAGACTCTTATCTCCAATAAACCACTAGAAAACCGGAAGTGGCACTGTGGCTTAAGCAATAGAGTGCTTGCCTTGAGCTGAAGAGCGCAGGGACAGTGCCCAGGCCCAGAGTTCAAGCCCCAAGACTGGCAAAAGAAAAAAAAAAATTCTTCCTTCTCACATCCAAAATGGTGGGTATTGGTATTTTTAAGCTTATATGGTTCTTAGATGATGGCTTTGTGTATACTGTCTTCCCCAGCCTCAAATGAAGAAATAGGAATAGGGATGTTGTGAATTGTTAGGGGTGGTATAGCAGATTGATAGCAAGATAGCAAGTACCGGGCTTTAATTCACAATGCTGTTTTCACAATTATTGCAGTTCTACTGCTTTCCTCTGCCTTCCTTGCTAAGGACAACTGGACAGAATGTTTGTTGTTTGCCAGCCTATAGCTTTAGCTTGGGTTTTAAAACCCTAGTAATAGATAGATAGGGTATATACCTCAGATGTTCCTAAGAATATAACTTTGATTTCAGGAAAGACAAGGTGAAATAAGTGCCTACATCAAAATCAATTAGGAAAAATCCTAATAAAGAGAATATGAAAGATGTGGGCTTGTGTCACTATATTGGAATCCCTCCCAGGGCCTGGATGGACTGGTAGAGACGAAGTACTCTAGTTGAAAGAACCATTGCATTCTCTGTTAAGGAACTTGCCTCCTTATTGTAGGCATCAGGGATTTCTAAGCTGATTATTGACCAAATACATTCTTCTGGCAGCAGAATGAGAATTAATTATAGAGGAGAAGAAACTGATATTAGGGAAACCATCAGGCAGTAGCATTAACAGTAATGAGAAGAGATTTGGAGTTAGTAGTAACAAGGAATTAGAAGGTTGGAATTAAGGACACTAACAAGGCTGAAATCAAAAAATTGTAAGCTAGCCAGGTGCTGGTGGCTCACACCTGTAATCCCAGCTACTCAGGAGGCTGAGATCTGAGGATCACAGTTCAAAGCCAGCATGGGCAGGAAAGTCCGAGAGACTCTTTATCTCTAGTAAACCACTAGAAAACTAGAAGTGGTGCTGTGGCTCAAGCAGTAGAACGCTCGCCTTGAGCTGAAGAGCGCAGGGACAGTGCCAGGCCTAGAGTTCAAGCCCTATGACCAGAAAAAAAAGAAAAAAGAAAAAATTGCATTTCATGGCAGAATGTGGTGATAGATTTCATGTATACATAAGTAAATGAGGAAAATAGGTTTGAGGAGAGTTTGTTTTTCTTTTTGAAAAAGTAGATAGGAGACAAATGTACTTAGATGAGGCAGAGTTCAGTCTTGAAAATGTTACCTTTGAAGTGATACTAGATCATAATTATTAATATGATGAGAAGAGATTTCCAAAGTATTTGCATATTAGAGGAAGTTAAAACTACAAGAAAGGATGAGATACCTCAAAGAGAATGTGTAGAAGAAAAGAAGACTGGTAATGTTATCTTGAAAAGCTCTGTGTTAGAGGTGTGGGGTGGACAGATGAGAATTCAAAGTTAGCTGGACTGATAGAAGAGGAGAGATGCGAGCAAATAGAAGGCTGCTGGCAGTGTGACTACAGATGCAGATAAGCTTGAAGAGAGCCATGTAGCAGTTGAAGAGCCAGCTGAGATTTTAGGCAGAGCATTTAATATTATGGCCCTTATTAGCTCTGTTTGGCAGAGCAAGCCAATATTCAAACCCTGTCTACAGTAAAAGTTACTGAAAGGAAAGGATTTCGGTTATATTTTTTTCATGAATGTTATGCATAGTATTATCTCAGTGAATTAATCAGAACCATGCCTTAAGAAATAATCTACTAACATTAAGTTGGTTTAAGGAAAAGCTAGGAAATGAGCCTATTCTGTCTGTGTATCTATCTATTTATCTATTTTTGTGTGCCAGTCCCAGGGCTTAACCTCAGGGTGTTGTGTTTTGGCTTGTTTTTTTCCACTCAAAGTTGATCCTCTTAGCCGGGCCTTGATGGTTCACGCCTGTAATCCTAGTTACTCTGGAGGCTGAGGTCTGAGGATCATGGTTCAAAGCCAGCCCAGCAGGAAAGTCTGTAAGACTCTTTCCAATAAACCACCAGAAAACTGGAAGTGGCGCTGTGGCTCAAGTGGTAGAGTGCTTGCCTTGAGCTGAAGAGCTCAGGGACAGCACTCAGGCCCAGAGTTCAAGCCCCATGACCTACAAAAAAAAAAAAAAACTGGTACTCTTAATCACTTCAGCCACACCTCCACTTTCAGCTTTTTTTCTGGTTTATTAGAGATAAGAGTCTCCTGGACTTTCCTGCCTCGCCTGACTTCACACTACGGTCCTCAGATCTCATTCTTCTGTGTAGCTAGGATTATAGGCATGAGCTACCAGCACCCAGTGTATTCAAATCTTTTGTAATATATAAGTTGTGTATATTGTGGGATTAAAGGCTAGCTCAATTGTCTGGCAGTTCTTTAGTGTCTTGAGAAAATGTGTCCTTGTACATCCCATGGCTGGGATAGAACGTGGCTATTTAAAACTCTTCTCTTGTGCAGATAATTTATATAGACCAGACATCCAGCTTATAACAGCATAAAATACTAGCAAGCACTTTTGTATAGGAGCTTCTCTGGATAGTTTGAAAAGATAATGAGTGAATTGACTTCTCCTGATATGTTGGTAGATTCTTACCCAAAACTGACATTCTCTTTAGGGTTTAGTTTTGTTTTTAATGTTTGCTGCACATCCAGCATTGGATAATAGGATAGTTTCTTTCATCAGGTTAGAGTGGAAGAAAATCTGTAACTCTGAAATCATTGTTTAAAAGCATTTTCAACCTTGATGTTTGCAAATTAAATATCTGTCGTTGAAGAGATGCAACCAGTTTTTATTAGTGGTTCCTTAATGTTTTTGATGTGATCACTCTAGAAAAAGAAATGGCTAACGGTAACAGCTTTTCAATAAGAGCATTTTTTAATGTAAAATTATGCATGAAATCATTATTCAATTTTGGCTTTGTTTACTAGGCTCCATGTTCTCACAAGCTATGAAGAAGTGGGTACAAGGAAATACTGATGAGGTAAATTCTACTTTTAGTGTGAGAGTTATAAGTATTCCCCTTATCTAAGTCCAGCTTCACATTTTCTCATTTTGAGTTCCCATATTTAAGCAGCCTGATACATCAGTGCTCTCTTACTCAGGTTGTAACAAAAAAGGCTGGGCCCTTCTTAGCAACTAACATTTGCCTTGTGGTGACAGTGAAGGCCAGAGACCACGGAAGAATATCCCCACAGTCAAGTTTTTTTTTAATTTTAATTTTATTGTCAAGGTGATGTACAGAGGGGTTAGAGTTACATAAGTAAGGTAGTGATTACATTTCTTGTCTAACCTGTTACCCCCTCCCTCATTTTTCCCTTTCTCCCTCCTCCCCTGCATTCAAAATTCCATCAACCAGCAGGCATCTGTCATTAGTACAGAAACAGAAACAAAAATGTTTATTTTCTGTCTAACAGTTTTACTTTTAGAAGTAAAACGTTTGCTTTTTTAATAAGTTCATTGAAAGATGGTTGTAGAAAAAAGTTATATTTGACCATCTAACAAAGGAGTCATGTTTCTGTGTAGTAGCTGACTCTGTAGCACAGTAAATAACATGTTAATAAGTCATAGCTGAGGGCTGGGAATGTGGCTTATTGGTAGAGTGCTTGCCTAGTATGCATAAAGCCCTGGGTTCCATTCCTCAGTACCACATAAACAGAAAAGGCTGCAAGTGACATTGTGGCTCAAGTGGTAGAGTACTAGTCTTGAGCAAAAGAAGCTCAGGGACAGTGCCCAGGCCCTGAGTTCAAGACCCAGAACTGGCAAAAAAAAAAAAAAAATAGCCAGGGGGGTGCCTAAATCCTTTCATACATGGGAAGATACTTTTTACCCAAATGATGTGCATATACACTTGTATTTAGAGCAGTAATTACATGTATCTTGATGCTGCTAATGAATAACCATTATCAACAGTTTGGATTACTTCTTTTAGGCCCAAGAAGAGCTAGCTTGGAAGATTGCTAAAATGATAGTCAGTGATGTTATGCAGCAGGCACACTATGATCAACCATTAGAGAAGTCTACAAAGGTAAGGAACACTATATTTTGACCTAGCTTGTGTAAAACTGAAAAGACTTTTACCTTTCAGGTATTGAAACATAAAAAAGGAACACAAGGTACTCTACATTTGCCTTTGAAGGATTAACAGTTATAGCAAGTGCCCTCACTTTAAAGTGATGCAGTTCACTGCTTAGAAGCATTTTCTAAATCAGTGGAAGAACCCAAATCTATTTGCTGAATTGAGGAGTCAGAAAGCAAAGCTTAGCTGGGCTTAGGTGGCTTATGCCTACCTAATACTAGCTGTGGAGGAGACTGAGATCTGAGGATAGTAATTCAAAGATACCTTAGGCAGAAAAGTCTATGAGACACATAAGCACCAAAAAGTTGGAAGTAGAGATGTGGCTCAAGTGGCCAGAACATAGGCCTTGAGTTCAAGCTCCAGTTACCAGCGCGCGCGCACACACGCACACACACACACACACACTAAAGTAAAAGTAAAGAAAAAGAAAGTAAAGTTTGGAAATTCTAACATAACCAGAAGCTCCAGGACAAGTTATCAGAAAAAAGATTGTTACCTAGAAAGAAAGTTGGAAAGATATTTGGAGAGGTCCCCTCAAGTCCTTGGCCAAATACTAATCTGTATCTGTTGGGTCAAAATGTATATATCTGGGGCTGGGAAGGTGGCTCAGTGGTAGAGTGCTTGCCTTGCATGCATGAGGCCCTGGGTTCGATTCCTCAGAATCGAACTTCCAGCAGAAAAAGCTGGAAGTGGCACTGTGGCTCAAGTGGTAGAGCCTTGAGCTGAAGAGCTGAGGGACAGTGCCAAGGCCTAGAGTTCAGGCTCCACGAACAACCCTACCCCCCCAAAAAAATGTACATGTCCAAGGAAAGAACCCCCAGAATTTAGTGTGAATGATACCTGGAACCTAGGGTTAGGAGTAGTTCATATTCCCTCTAGCCAGAGTAATACAGAAAGCACTGGATAACTATGGCTTACTACTACTAGTGTAAAGCATCTAAAGCAAGTTTTGAGAACAAGATGTTTGAATGGTAGACCCTAGTGACAAAAAGACAAGTTTTAAAAGGATCAGTTATTACTCTGTAAGTAATAACTGTATACCAAAAACCAAAGTTCAACCTTCTTTTTAAAATAAAATTCACTGGGCACTCTCACCTATGATGTGTACATTATAAACCTTAAGAGCAAATACTAGTGGGGCTGGGAATATTGCCTATTGGTAGAGTGCTTGCCTAGCATGCGTGAAGCCCTGAGTTCAATTCCTCAGTACCACATAAACAGAAAAAGCCAGAAGTAGAGCTGTGGCTCAAGTGGTAGAGTGCTAGCCCTGAGCAAAAGAAGTTTAGAGACAGTGCCCTGAGTTCAAGCTCCAGGACCAGCAAAAAAAAAAGCAAACATTAAGTGATAAAGCTAGTAAGTAGACCACTAATGAGATATTAAAAACTAGTGCCTAAAATAATAGTGAATCTTGTTTGTTAAGGCATGTGATACAGAGATCAAAGGGATCTGGGTTTGAGGCTAACTCAGGCAAAAAGTTAGCCAAACCTCATCTGAGCTAACAAGCTGGGTATGATGGCATGCACCCGTAATACCCCACCTACCTGGAGGCATAGGTAAGAGGATAATAGTTTGACTCTGGCCCCTGACAAAACACAAGACCCTATCCAAAAAATAACTAAAACAAAGAAAAGAGTAGACCTAGAGGCATACCTCTAGTGGTAGAGCACTTGCCCAGTAAGTACAAAGCCCTGAGTTCAAAACCTAGTACTGCCAAATTTAAACAACAAAAACTGAATCCAAAAGATATAAAGGAAGAAAAAGAACCAGTGAGACAAGATGACAGATGTAAGCCCGATCATATTAATAATAACTACATTAAAGGCACTGGTGACTCATGCCTGTAATCCTATCTACTCAGGAGGCTGAGATCTGAGGATCACAGTTTGAAGTCAACCCAGGTAGAAAAGTTTGTGAGACTCTTATCTCCAATATCCTACTCAGAAAAAGCCAGAAGAGGCATTGTGGCTCAAGTGGTAGAGTGCTAGCCTTAAGCACATAAAGGCCTAGGCCCTGAGTTCAAGACCAGCAATGAGAGGGGGGGAGGGAGAGAGGGATGAAGGGAGGGAGGGAGGGGGAGAGAAAAGAGAAAGGAGAGAGAGAGGAGGGGAGAGAGAGACAGAGACAGAGAGAGGAGAAAGAAAGAGGCATCAGGTACTGGTAGCTCATACCTGTAATCTTACCTAGGAGGTCTAGAACTGAGGCTTGTGGTCCAAAGCCAACTTAGGCAGAAAAATTCAGGAGACTCTTATTATCTCCAGTTAACCATTAAAAAAGCAAGCTCAAGTGATAGAGTGCTAGGGGCTGGGAAGGTGGCTCAGCGGTAAAGTGTTTGCCTTGCATGCATGAGGCCCTGGGTTCGATTCCTCAGCACCACATAAGCAGAAAAAACCAGAAGTGGTGCCGTGGCTCAAGTGATAGAGGGCTAGCCTTGAGCTGAAGAGCTAAGGTACAGCGCTCAGGCCCTGAGTTCAGACCCCATGACCAGCAAAAAAAAAAAGATGGAGTGCTAGCCTTGAACATGAAAGTTCACCTAGGCTCTTGAGTACAAGCCCCATGGCTGACCAAAAGAAAAAAAAAAGAGAAACATTTTGAACAACTTAATGATAATAAGCATGAAAGCACATTCAAAAAAAAATAGAAAACTTGAATAATCCTGGTTGGTTGGTTGCTTGTTTTGTTTGAACTTTGAGCTTGGGCACTGTCCTTTTGCTCAAGTCTAGCACTCTACCACTTGAGTCACAGTTCCACTTGTGGCTTTTTTTGGGCGGGGAGAGGGGTTAATTGGAGATAAGAGTCTCACAGTTTCCTGCCTGGACTGGCTTTGAACTGCAATCCTCAGATCTCAGCCTCCTGAGTAGCAAGGATTCTAGGTGTGAGCCACTGGTGCCTGAAAAACACTGCATTTATTAAAGAAATTGAATCTCTAGTTAAAAACTATTCCTTAGAGCTTCATGCTCAGATATAATTTTAAGAAAAATAATAGCATTTCTACATAAAGTTCCAAAAATATTAGGAGAGCACAGTATTTCCTAACTCATCCTGTGCAGCCAACACTGAAAATCAAAGACATTATAAGTAGAGAAACTGTAGTTTCTCTTATGAACATACATGGAAAATCCTTGACAAAATGTGAGAAAACTGATCCAATAATACAAAGAAAGGATAATCTGGGTATTGGCAATTCATGCTTATAATCCTGACTACTTGGAAAACTAAAAATGGGAGAATCATAATTTGGGGCAAACCAAGGCAGAGAAGTTCACAAGGCCCCTTCTCAAACTATAACTTGGTACAGTGGTACATGCATATAATTCTAAGCTACAGCCAGCTTTGTGAAGGTCATAGTTTCATACTAGCTCAGGCAGAAAATTTGACAAGATTCCATCTCAATAGAGGGAAACTGGACACAGTGGCACATACCAATCATCTTAGCAATAACAGGAAACTAACAAAGCAACTTGTGGTCTAGGCACACACTGGGCAGGAAGCAAAACTATCTCAAAATTAAGCAATTGAAAACCGGGCCAGAGCTGTGGCTCAGTTTGGTAGAGCACCTGCCTTGCAAGTCCCTTGTTCAGGCTCCAATATCAGCAGGAGGAACAAAAAAAAAAAAGAAAAGAAAAGGATAACACTTAATGAAAACTAGTAGTTGACTCAAGTGATTAAGCGCAACCCATATGGCCCTGAATCCCAAGGAGCATTAGCCATGTGTGGTAATATATGGGTTTGTTAGTGCATTTTTTTTTTAATGCTCCGTCATGGGACTTGAACTCTGGGCCTGGGTGCTGTTCCTCAGCTCTTCAGCTCAAGGCTAGCGCTCTACCATTTGAGCCACAGCGCCACTTCTGGTTTTCTGGTAGTTTATTGAGTAAGAGTCTCACAGACTTTTCCTGCCCAGGCGGCTTTGAACCATGATCCTCATATCTCAGCCTCCTGAGTAGCTAGGATTACAGGTGTGAGCCACCAGTGCTGGGTTTTGTTAGTGCATTCTTAAAACCCAAGCACTGACATTGGACAGTCATAAGACATCAGGCTTAACTACATACCTTTTTTTTTTGCTAGTCCTGGGGTTTGAACTCAGCCTGATTGCACTGTCCCTGAGCCTCTTCGCGCTCAAGGCTAGCATGCTCTATCACTTGAGCCACAGCCCTACCTGTGGCTTTTTCTGAATAGTTTATTGGAGATAAGAGTCTCACAGACTTTTCTGCCTGTGCTGACTTTGAGCTTTGATCCTCAGATCTCATCCTACTGAATAGCTAGGATTATAAGTGTGAGTAACCAACACTGGGTAAAAAACATCTTTTTTTTTTTTTTCCTGTCAGTTGTAGGGCTTGAACTCTTGGCTTGGGCACTGTCCCTCAGCTCTTCAGCTCAAGGCATCTACCACTTGAGCCACAGAGCCACTTCTGGTTTCCTGGTGGTTTATTGGAGATAAAAGTCTCACGGACTTTCCTGCCCAGGCTGGCTTTGAACTGTGATCCTCAGATCTCAGCCTCCTAAGTAGCTAGGATTACAGGCCTGAGCCACCAGCACCTAGCTGAAAAACATCTTTCTAAGAGTTGTATCCAGAACATGTAAATAAGCCTTGAATTCTAAAGACTCTTTTTTTTTATAAAAAATTATTTTTTTTCTGAATTTCAAAAGGTTGTGATGAGGGACATGTTTCAGTTTATAGGCTGATGTTTTTGTTTTTTGTTAGTCATGGGGCTTGAACTCAGGGCTTGGGCCCTGTCCCTAAGCTTTTATGATGAAGGCTAGGTCTCTACCACTTTGAGCCACAGCACCACTTTCCAGTCTGATTTTTTTTTTGGGGGGGGGGGTGAATAGCGGTCGTGGAGCCTGAACTCTGGGCCTAGGCACTGTCCCTAAGCTCTTCATTCAGTTCAAGGCTAGCACTCTACCACTTGAGCCACAGCTCTACTTCCGACTTTTTTTTTCCGCTCATGAGGTGCTGAGGAATTGAACCCAGGGCCTCATGCATGCAAGGCAAGCACTCTACCACTAAGCCACCTTCCCAGCCCCTGATTTTTTTTTTAAGGGTCAAAAGATAGGAATAAATACTACACAAAGAAGATAAATGAATAGCCAATACTGATGTGCAAGAACCCCAACATCATTAGCCATTAAGGAAATGCAAATTAAAGTCACAAAGATATTTGACTTCATACTCAAAAGAATCACTTTTATTTTTGTTTGTTTGTTTGTTTTGTCAGTCCTGGAGCCTGAACTCTGGGCCTGTCTTTCAGCTCTTCAGTTCAAGGCTAGTGCTCTACCACTTGAGCCACAGCTCCATTTCCAGCTTTTTCTGCTTATGTGGTGCTGAGGAATGGAACCCAGGGCCTCATGCAAGGCAAGCACTTACCAGTGAACCACCTTCCCAGACAGAATCACTAAAATTTAAAAGACTGAATACAAAGTTGGGCACTAGTGGCTCACTCTTGTAATCCTTAGCTACTCAGGAGGCTAAGATCTGAGAATCTCAGTTCGACGCCAACCTGGGCAGAAAAATCTGTGAGACTCTTTATATCCATTAAACTATTCAGAAAAATAAAACAGAAATGGCTGTGGCTCAAGTGGTAGAGTGCTAGCCTTTAGAACAAAAAGGCTTAGGGACAGCACCCAGGCCCTGAGTTCAAGCCCCAAGACCAGCAAAAAAAGACTGAATACCATGTGTTGTCAAGGACATGAAACAATTTGATCACTGATGGGAATGGAAATAGTAATATCACTTTGAAAATACACTTTGGGAGCTTAAGGTAAGACTCATCGGTAAGCCACTTATCTAGCAAGGATTAGGCCCTGAGTTTAACCCTAGTACCTTTAAAAACAAAACAATTTAGCAGGACAAGGTGCTATGCCAGTAATCTTAGCTACCTAGGAGACAGAGATCAGAAGGATCCCCATTCTGTACCAACGTAGGGGAAAACATTCATGAGATCATTTCTCAACCAAAAAAAAAAACAATAAAAACCCATCTGCTGGAAAGTATCGGTAAGAAGTTCCTGGCTACTCCCAATAAAAAACAAGACAGTATTCAAAAGATAATGAAAACAGGGCTGAGACTCTGGCTCAAGTGGTAGAATGCCTTTTTAGCAAGTGTAAGTCACTGAATTTGAACCCCAGTACTACTGAAATAAAACAGTTTGGCAATTTCTTAATGTTAAACAGTTGTGTTTGTGTACTAGTACCAGACTTCAACTCAGGACCTCATATTCTCAGCTTTCCTACTCATAATTGGCACTCTACCACATGGGTTATGCTTCTAGTCCAACATTTTGGCAGTTAGTTGGAAATAGAATCTCAGACTTTTCTGCCTGGGCTGGCTTTAAAACATCAGTCTTTCAGGTCTCACCCTCCTCTAAGTAGCCAGGATTAAAAGAGTAAGCTACCAGCACCTGGCTCAGAAATGTTTTGAAGTTCTTTTTTTCATGGGCTGGTGATGTTCCACAGAGAAACCTCTTACCAGTCTCTTGTCTTTTAAATTAAAGCTAGGCCACCAGTTATCCAGGAGCCAGTGTGACAAGGCTAGAAGGGACTTAGGATTCTTCATTATTTTAAACCCCTCCTTGAATCCTCTTGTCAGTACAATATTGTGCCTTCAGGCATGTCTAGTTTTCTTTAGCCCAGAGATACTTCGTTTTATTTTATTCAGAGAAGCAATCAGATTTTTTTTATTGAAGTTGAGCTTTAAAGATAGTCACTGGCTGATTAGATGTACAACAGTCACTGAGAACTGCTTCTAAAATGAGCTTTTAACAAGTGGTGTTTTCACTTTTTTACTTCCCTTCCCTTTACCAGAGGTATCAATGCTACCTCCTCTTCTCTCTCTCATGTTCTTTTTGCTGTTGTTGGTGGTGGTGGTGGTGGTTGTGGGGCTTGAACTCTAGATCTGGGCACTGTCCCTGTACTGTTCACTTCAAGGTTAGTGCTCTACCACTTGAGCCACAGAGCCACTTCCGGCTTTCTTACGGACTTTCCTGCCCAGGTTGGCAGGATCTCAGTCTCCTGAGTAGCTAGGATTACAGGCATGACCCACCAGTGCCTAGCTTCTTCCCTCTTTTTTAATCATGTATTTATAGAGGTTGTGGTGATAGTGGTGGTTTTTAAAGTACTGGGTTTAGAAGGAACAAATTAATTGTGTGTGATCAAACTACCATCTTTTCTTGGAGGTCAGACATCTATTCATTGTTACTAGAATTCTGACCTTGTGAAATCTAATATTCTGTTTCTCTGTAGCTTCACAAACTAGTTCTGATCTTACCTTTGAGAGCCACATAAAGCACCTTCTTCAAGCCAAATGTCCTTAGTTCCTTCTAGTTTTATTTCTTCTTGGTTTATTCATAAAGACTTAATATGATTGGAGAATTTCTGCTTATATCCTTAAACTACTCCTGCGTTATTTACGTTACACAGAAAGTTTGAATCAGGAAAAATGTCTTTATGAATCCTTTATTTTAACTTTTTTTTTTTTTTTTGTCAGCCATGGGGCCTGAACTCTGGTCCTGGGTGCTGTCCCTAAGCTCTTCAGCTCAAGACTAGCACTCTACCACTTGAACCACAGCGCCGCTTCCATCTTTTTCTGCTTATGTGGGCCTCATGCATGTGAGGCAAGCCCTCTACACTGAGCCACCTTCCTAGCCTTATTTTAACTTTTTTATTGTTATTATAAAGTTGATGTACAAAGGAGTTATAGTTACATAATGACTCTTTATAAAAATTATTTTTTATGTTTATATGGTACCAGGGAATCGAACCCAGGGCCTTATGCATGCTAGGCAAACACTCTACCACTAAGCCACATTCCTTGTTGGATGAATCCTTTAAGAAAAAACTGTGGTGTGGAAGCACAAAACCAAATCCTTAATCATGCTATGTGAACCATACTCCTCACCCAAAAACTATGTTTGATAACATCCATACAACTTTGACCAAAGACTATGTTTGATGACATCCATATACAACTTTGGGTAGATTGTAGTTGCTTAGGTCCAGTATTACCCTTTCCCTGCTAGCTGTCTCACCTTTTTTTGGGGAATTATCATTACAGATTTTGTATGAACTTTTTTCACTGAGCTTATTTAAACAAAAGCTCTGTGTACTGTTGCAAACTATCTTCTTTTCTGTATAAGTGTAATTGTGTTTGTCTATATTTATCTTCTGGCTCAGTTGAACCTAAAATAGTAAAGAACAAGCTAAAGGTGTATAAAAAAGTGTGAAGTAATTATTTTTGTGATTCCTCATGTTCATTTCATTACTAAATATTTTGACAATAAAATGTTCAGCCAAGCGCTTGTGGCTTGTGCCTGTAATCCTAGCTACTCAGGTTAAGAACCAAAGATCAGAACAAAAAAGTCCATGAGATTCTTATCTCCAATTACCAAAAAGTCGGAAGTGGAGCTGCCACCCAAGTAGTAGAATGCTAGCCTTGAGCAAAAAAGCATAGAGATAGCACCTAGGCCCTGAGTTCAAGCCCCAAGACCACGGCAAAAAAGAAAAATGAAAGAAAATATTCTTTATAAACCATTTTGGAAAACACATATTTAAAATTCAGGCTTTTTGTTTTGACTTGTATGTTCAGATTTCTTTATCAGGTACTTTGCATTTTTAAGTTATATTTTGTTTTTTGAGTTTGCTTGGCTTATGTTTGGCTTAACAGGGCATCTGTCCTGCCTATACTTTAGGAATCACAATGAGTGAGTGAGTGAGTGAGTGAGTGAGTGGTGCTGAGATTTGAACCAAGGCTTCCTGAATGGTAAGCTGGTTCTCTTCTGATAAGTTACACATCCAGTCCTTGAGTCCATTTTTAGGTAAGATATGTGACTTTCTACAAGTGGCTTTTCTTCTTCAGTGCCTTATTTTCTCATTAGTAAATAGAGAGACTGAACATAAAAACTAAAAAAAAAAAAAACCTTCTAATTCTCATACAGTAATTTTGTATGAGCAGTCTTAAACCTATTCAAGATCATTCAGTCTCTTTAGCCCATATTAATCTCTGCTTTGAACCTCCAGCATTTAATTCGCCCATACAGTATACTTGAACTTACAGTGTGAATAGATACCGAATGTCATTACTGAATTGTTTAAGGAGCATGTCCCATCTCACAAATACTATGTTTGTTCCCTGGTGCTAAGTAAAGGGAAAGACTCCGTGTCCTTAGCTTGATCTTACTAGCTACCAGATCAGAGATTTTTTACTCTTTGTAAAGAGTACTGTACTGATAATTTACCTTACCTTTTTCTTTTTTTTTCAGCTATGACTCAAGACAACACATAAGGAAATCTGCTTTTGAAAAGAGAACTTTCTCCTTTGGTTGGAATCTTCAACACAGCCAATGAAAACAGAGCACTGTATTCGAGTTCACTGGTAGATCACTATTGGTTCCATGAAAGAATAGGAGACAATCCTAAATTTCCACCATAATGCAGAGTAACATATAGACACAAATGATGCACATGATATTCACACAGTGAGTCACAAAAATACAAAGTGGTATTGTTGACATTATTAGAAATTTAATAGTTTTCCAGTGGCCAGTAGTCCACTTAGGATAGAGTTACCCACTGGGACAGGGACCACATCTTGTGAGAGGTAGATAAACACCAAGCTGGTATTTGATGCAAATTCTTGTAGCAGGAATCCTTTCCTGGCAGTAGCAGAAAATACATGGCAGAGGTGCTTGCTTTGTCTCCTAAAATAACCATTTCAGTTCTACCCACAAAAAGCCAGCCAGCTCCAAGTGGCAGTATGGGGCCAGCAGCTTAGAAAAAGGTAAGGATTCTTATGTAGTGTACTGCACAGAGGCACATATTTAGAAGGAAACTGACAAGGCACAAGTCAAGCTTCAGTGACGTTATCCTTCTCTTTGGAGGCAGTATGCAATTTTGACATTATACTTGCTTCTGAGATGCAGTATCATTACAGTCTCTCCCCTGCTAACAAAAAGGGCAAAATTTGTTTGAGCATTAGACTTGTTCCTCTGGAATTCTGCACTCCAGTTGCCGGGAAATGCAATGATCACTCCAGTTTTTCCTTGAACAAAATGGTTATTTCCAGATTGTACTTCAAAAAAAAAATAAGATAGGGAGAAAGGCCTCCCCCTTCTTTGCTATGAATGGGAAGTGTGCAGTTGGTCATTTTCCTTTCTGTCTTCATGACAGTATGGGACACTTTCTCTCCTTCTGCTTAGTTGGCTTTGCTTCAGAATTGCACAGCCATGGTCAGGGCCTTCTAGTTGGCAAGCACAGTCCACCAATCTTCTCTTAGGTGTTACTGCTTTTACTGAGACTTTACAAAAATAAAAATGAATATATATATATATATATAAGTATATAATTATCACCTCTGTCCTTGAGAAAGTCTTGAATGAATAGAGAATTTATTCCGTTGCAATATTGATTGTATACAGGCACACCGTTTTATCAACAGAAGAAACAAAAAGGCTGTGTATAAGTTTTTGGTACTATGTACCACCTCTGTTATTCTTCTAAAGTTGAAGTATTCATGTACTTAAACATTATTCTATTTAATTGTGTTTGATTTTAAATATATAAATATGAATTCTATTTAAGATGGTGTCAACTTTTTGCTTTCAGGGTATCTGTGGTTCTTTGGTTGAAATATATCGATCTTTCCTAATAATAACACTTGCTTTACAAAAACCCGGAACATGAGCCATTTAGCCTTGTGTTCAGAATGTAGGAATAGGACTGAGGTTTTTATTAGGTATGTATGTTGTGATTAGCTCATTTTGTTGTTTTAACAAAATATTTCTATCCATTTTACATTGTTTCACACTTCAAAAAGAAAGCAATATAAAAGTCAGAGAATAAAATGTGGTTTGGAGTAACTCTTGCGCCTCTGCATGTTTTAGAAAAACAATTTCTGTAAGATTTTAGACTTAACTAGTGCTTTTGGTTAAGGTAATTTCTAGTCATGTCTTTTGTGTACATTTTATGTTTCTAAGCTAAAGATCCCAGTAATTATAAACTTCTAGTAAGGGGAAAAATAGCAGACTTGAAATTCAGTTATTTCTTTTTGCCTCACCTGCTAAGAGTCATAGAAGCAGTGTGGCCTGAAATTATTAGCCATTTTTAATATTTGATCTAAAGTAGATCCTTGTACTTACATTAAAATTGGAATTGTATTCCCCTAACATTGAGCACTTACTGTATTCCAGGCTCTATGCAGTGTGTCCACAAAATATGATACCCTGGCAGGGTTTTATAGGCTGAAGTAACTAGTTGAACATTCTGTATCCTTATAATCATTGACATCAACACATATTATTTAAAAAGTAAAAATATTAGTGAGAAAACTAATATTTGTAACTTGATGTGTTTTCACTTCTGTCAAATATGATAAAAGTATAAATCAGATGTCAAACAAATCCAGTGAAGAGCAATAAAATAAGAAATCTTTTGTAACTTTTTTTTCTACTTGGGTTCCAATATTCAGTAGAGCTTTATGAAATGTAAGTGAGTGTTAGTGCTGGGCTTTTGACTCATTAAGTCATTCTGAATTTGTAGAATACAACTTTCTACTTTATAACTGTTGTGTTTAAATACTGAGAGCTAGGTACCTGAAACAACAGCTGGCATCTCTAATGACACTATTGGAAACCTGCCTGACTAAATCCCCACTGCTCAGGTGTGAAAGCCATGTTTGTGCACTATGACTTTTTCTCTCCCTTTCCCCCCAACATAGCAGTACTGATCCACCAAATCCTTTATGTTAAGAAGAGGTAACAGTCACCTTCTGTGACAGTGGCTTGGATGATAGCTTAGATGGGGTACTTAAAAGGCAGGAGCTGGCACCACATGGATAAGCCTGAGAGCAGCTGCCCTTGGTAACCCCGATGCCTTCTCTGGTTTCTGCTTTCTCCTTGCCTTGGACTCTAGTCAGTTCTCAGGTATGCTTAAAATAAATTTTGATTTTTTTTTTCTCCCAAATCAGCCTGAAGTTCATTTTTACTAATGTTACTGAAAGAACTTTGACTAAAGTACTATCAGACTGTCCTAATCCCTAATGCTTCTTTGTTCACTATATCTACAAAGTACTGCTGCATTGTGGACTGGAATTCTTTTTTTGGGGGGGCGGGTGGGGTCCGGTCATGAGGCCTGAACTCTGGGCCTGGGCGCTGTCCCTCAGCTCTTGCTCAAAGCTAGCGCTCTACCACTTGAGCCACAGCACCACTTCCGGCTTTGTTTCTTTTTGCTTATGTGGTGCTGGGGAATTGAACTCAGGGCCTCATGCATGCAAGGCAAGTGCTCTACCACTGAGCCACCTTCCTAGCCCAGAAGTGGAATTCTTTTTTTTTTTTTTTTGTCGGTCGTGGGGCTTGAACTCTGGGCCTGGGCGCTGTCCCTCAGCTCTTCAGCTCAAGGTGAGCGCTCTACCACTTGAGCTACAGCGCCACTTCCAGTTTTCTGGTGGTTTATTGGAGATAGGAGTCTCACGGTCTTTCCTGCCCGGGCTGGCTTTGAACCGCGATCCTCAGATCTCAGCCTCCTGAGTAGCTAGGATTACAGGCATGAGCCACCAGCGCCCGGCCAGAAGTGGAATTCTTTAGTAACCTTTCATTGGTCATCTTATGTGCTCACTCAAAGTGAAGTCCTAACCTAATGGAACTAAAAGATAGTAAGGAATTATTTAGGCTTCAGAAAGCTCCCTCACAACCCACTTGTTGTGGGATGGTCAATATTAGAATCCAGTCTTAAAACAAAACCCCTTCATGTTTTTCTATACCCTGCTGAAGAGTAAACATGATTCCTACTTTTAGCAATATAACAAACATAGAAATAGAAGGCAATTTGACTAATGAGTAACTAATAAAAGTTTAAAATGGGATAACAAAATCTGAAGCTGACAGCTTGCATGTATTGTGCTAATCTTTGGCCTTTGGCTAAAGTCATAAAAAAAGGGGAGTAAAGGTTAGTAAGTGGTTATAGCTTGGAAGTCCATGCTTGTAATCATACTCTGACGTTCTTTCCAAGTGAGCCCTGAGAAAGCCTCTCAGCTTGGGAGTGTTAGGAATGGCTCAGAATAGGGTGAGAGGTACTAAGGATTCTGGACTGGTAGGGGTGGCCACAGAGGGGACCATTGTAAGCAAAGGCCCCAAGGGTATTCATGTTCAAAAAGGTCTTTTGCCCATCTGCTTACCTGGCACAGAGGAAAGTAAATATCCTTGCAGCTGGGGAGGTGGCTCAGTGGTAGAGTGCTTGCCTTGCATGCCTGAGGCCCTGGGTTCGATTCCCCAGCACCACATAAGCAAAAAAGAAAAAAGCCGGAAGTGGCGCTGTGGCTTAAGTGGTAGAGCGCTAGCCTTGAGCTGAAGAGCTGAGGGACAGCGCCCAGGCCCAGAGTTCAGGCCCCACGACCGGACCCAAAAAAAAAAAAGAAAGAAAGAAAGTAAATATCCTTGCTCTAGTAATTTTATGCAAAAAAATATTTCATCAGTTTGTTGCTTTCAGACTACCTGCCCTCACACATTGAGATGCCAGAACTTACCTGCAGTCATTAAGCCTCTTGCATCCACCACCCACTGGCACTAGTAAGATACCTTAGGTTTCCCCTAGGTAGCATTTGTGAGTAACAGGGCAGGAGGGTTTTCTGGGGTCAGCAAGTCTGTAGTAATTGGCCAAAGAGGTGCTAGAAGGAGTGGGCCAGTCAGGTGCTGGTGTCTCACACCTATAATACTAGTTACTCAGGAGGCTGAAATCTAAAGGTTGCAGTTCAAAGCCAGCCCAGGCAAGAGAGTCCTTATCTCCTACTAACAACCAGAAAACTGGAAGTGGAGCTGTGGCTCAAAGTGGTAAGGCACTAACCTTGAGTGAAAACGCTTAGGAACAATGCCCAGGCCCTGAGTTTAAGCCCATAACTGATACCCTCCCACACCAAAAAAAAAGAAAGAAAGAAAAAAGAGTGAGCTAAAGTTCAGTTCTAAGAGGGCTATAATTTTTCGAGGAACAAATGAGAGAGATCAGGATTGTGATATGTGTGACACTTCCCTCAGCTTCAGCTTTCTAATTTCTGGATGTGTCTTCAGGCTCATCCCTAAATGATTGTAATCTATCCTCTGCCCATGTCATAGTATCACACATGCCATATAACTTGTCAAAGAATCTGTAGCAGCTGGGCATGATGCTATATGCCTATTATCCCAACATTCCAGAGGCTTAAGGCAGGGGAGTTATAAATTTGAGACCATCCAGTAAGTATCATAGTAAGATCATCATGATAAGTATCCATCCAGATGGGGCTATATAGTGAGATCCTGTCCAAAAACTAATAATTAAAAATGGGTTGACTGGGGTATAGGTCAGTAGTAGAGCAATGGATTCAGTCCCCAGCACCAGCAAATAAATTTATGCTGGTATTTTTTTTTAAGATTACCTTTTGAGCACATGATTTACCCTCCCAAAGTCCTGGAAATCATCAGGTTTGCACTAAGACCACAAGAATTGCAGCTTGGGTGGGGAGGGGGGCGGGTGGTGTGTGGCTAATGAGGCATAATTCTTGCATGAGAACCAATGACTGTATTGTTCAAAACTGGGAGTTTGGGCACTTAGGTATTGAACAGCGTGTCAGAATCTTTATGTCTGACCATCAAGGCTAGTCCCTCTGAACAGGGTAGTTAGTGCTAAGTAGTGCTCCAAGGATCAATCTCAGTTCCATGGCTCTGCAGAGCTTTGGGACATAATAATTATTGGAAAGTAGAAACACAAAGATAAGGTATTTTGTGCATGTGTATGATATTAAATCATGAACTTGGAAAACCTAGCTTAGTTATTAGGCTAATTCTGTGAATGATGATCTTGTGAGTTCTGCTTTAAGCATAATAGCTACCATAATTGATCACATCTCATCCTATGACAATCGTATAAGGCGAGTGCTTTTTTTTTTCTTTTTATAAATGAGACTGGGGTTTTAGTCATAAATGAATTTTCCCAGGATCACACAGCCTGGACTCAAACCTAGACATCGAGTGTTAACTCTTACTACTATGCCAGGCCACAAATAGTTGTTTCTCTTCATTCTTTCATCTTACCATCAATATAGCAGGTGTCAAAAACTTAAGGAAAACTTTGGGTTATGTGGCTTTAAAATGGAAAATATTCAATCCATTACCTTAAAGCAGAAATTCATAACTAGTCAGAGTGATGTATCCCTGTTGTAAAGCCAGTACTCGGAGGCTAAGGCAGGAAGATCATGAGTTCAAGACCAGTCTATCCTACATAGCAAAACCCTGTCTCAAAACAAAACAAAAAAATAGTTCTTAAACTTTGGCCTTGTCTGAATCCACTGGAAGACTTGTTTACACACACACACACACACGTTGCTGAGCCTAACCTCCAGTTTCTGTAGGTCTGAGATAGAACCTAACAATTTATGTTCCTAACATTTCTATACACATTGCAGCTTTGAAAGACCACACTTTGCCTTAAAGTCTTTCCTGCAACTTGAGAAATGAACATTTTCATTCCCACTTATTGAAAATGCCAGCTACAAATAAAAACAACAACAAAAGGTAAATTTGAGACTTTGTTAGTACTAGGTGTTTATTAGGTCTGAAAAAAATCCAAACACTAGGTAAATTTCTGTCTTTGGGAGCCCAGGCAGATCTGAGACCATGAGGGTCAGTGTTTCTGGAGTGAGACTTAGAAGAGGCTAAGATTAGTTCAAAGTCTATAATTGTCAGTTTCCTAGTTTCAATCCCCTTGCTAGACACTGGGTCCCAATAGAGTCAAAACCATACTCAGGGTCCTATGGAATCTTTTGCACAAATCCTGTCTATTTCCTTCCTTCCTTCCTTTGATGCCAGCTGCCCCCTAAGGTCTTGACCTGTCTT